CACAGCTTTGTGGTACGGGCTGGCATGTCGGACATGCGCTAATCTTATTTGCCCTGTCTTTCCGTATTTCTGTGGATTAACGTACTGGTCTGTCAGAAGGATTACTGACATCCCCCGTACCACGGAAAGCGATAGCAATTAACAAACAATAGCTTATTAGTGGATTGTCTTTTTTTTTTCATGAGCGATATCATCCTATCATATCGAGGGTATGTTTGTTGAGAGCACATTTCTGATTTCCTCGCCTGCCGCCCACATTCGACAATGCGTTCGTTATTATTGATCGTTCTTTCGACGCTGGTCGTGTTTCTAACATCTACCGGTGCTGTCCCGCCCAATGCTCCCAACCTCAAAACCGTGACGAAGAATCAGAAGTACATCCTCACGTGGCCTGCTGAAGACTCCGTCAATGAAAAGAGAAGCTTGCGGGCCGATCGCAGGGGCGTGGATATGGAAGCGTTCAAGACTGACGATGAAGAGCGAGGGTCAACGATTATGGAGAGATTGATGGCACCTCTCTATGGACTGAAACTCGGATTTTCTCCTAGCACACAGTCGAAGTGGGTGCTACGCTACGAGGAACAAATTTTTACCAAGCTTTACAACGCCAAAGAGACTCCAGTAAGCCTAAGAGCCAAGTATACCGGTAGGAATGGCAATGCCGTATTCCACAGGTTCAAAGCTTGGTACGAGAAAAAGGTTGCTGCAAAACGGGTTGGCGCCCAATTAAGGATTTTGAAAGAATACGGTTATTTCTAACAGCCCCAGTATTTTTTCAGCCGACACGCGAAAGCATAGCAGCCTCGTACTGGTACTACATGCTTCGAGAACAGAAACGTAGTGATGTTCTAAATGGAACACAAAAATGAAACTGAAGAACGAAATGTAACACGTTGTTATCTTTCACCTTCACCAACTTGCAAAAGGCAATTCGTACGTGTGATGCGGTGCACAACGTCAATGAAGCATGTTGAGAATCAAACATTATAGTGCGGCCAACACGGAATAAGTACCAGAAGGTAAGTATAACAAACCACTGCCGTCAACGCTGACCTATTTCTTGTACTGAGTAATACAAACAGTGTCCGGTAATACCATCGGTGTACGGATTATACTGAGAGTACCGAATAATGAGGGATGGACAACCTCAAACAGATTAAATTTACTGTACTAGTGAGCGTAACCTGGAGTAAAATTTGTACAGCATTCAAGAGTACAGTGCATCAGTACATTTGTCCACTACCGTTCGACAGTGTATCTCTACTGACACTGCTATGCAAATGCGGGTACAGTGCCTTTTTACCTTATGCGACGACAGTATGCCAAAACAGTCGGTTAAGTAATTAAAGTCAGGCAACCAGAGCAGGAAGATACACAGTCAAGCAGAACACCAGCTCCGTTTTGTTTTTTGCGCTAGTATTCTCATGGAAATATGTGTTGCAAAGGTGCTAACAAACGCAGAGATTTTGAACAGAAAAAAAAAAAACATTTCAACGTGAAGACCGCGAGATAGGCGAGTGGCTGGAGCATGCATCTTCCAATTTAGTACAATATTGAATGGCTTTCTCTGACACAAATAATAACGCCAAAATAACCACGACCAATTTTAAATTGCCGCAATACCCTACGGGAATCCATGAGAACTTACTTACACTGACGACGTTTTAGGTTGAGCTATCACGTAAGCATCCGCACTAGCAACCGCTACTTTGAAACAAGACATGCATCAGAGTGGTGAACAATGTCGATTGAGCTTATTGATGGCGCTCTGGGAGTCTTTGACGCGATATTGAAATTGATAGTTCCAGTGTCGCAGTCTGCATAGGCTGTGGGGTGGTGAGGGCTTCAGCAGCGGTAGATATCAAGCAATGATGTAAGAATATATATAATATAGGCAGCTGTTTGTTGTTAGAGTAGATAGATGTTTCTTATCTTGTGCGTTTACAATTGGACTAAAATGTCTTTAACACGGTACATCTTGCGCAACCAGGCGGGGTTTCCTCAGGTTTCCACATCGTTGTCAGATTGTTAGATTCTGCCGATTTCTAATGGTCAATATAGTAATGTGCGTCAGTAAGGAACTCATGATTTCCGCTTTCGTTGCTGCATGACTCGGGGGCATGCCGTCAACGGCACCAAATTATGAAGTTTGCATTGACGTGCCTCCATTCCCAGGGAGTGGCGTGGCGGGTTTAAGTTTGAAGAGAAAATCTGAAACTAACTGGGCGACTACTCCAGCGTGTTCTCCGGTGGTTTCATCTTTTGCTGTCTCTGCTGAAAAGCTATTTTCCTTCTTCGCTTGAAAATTCCCATTTGCAATTCGCATTATTTCGAACATGATTTAGTTGCGCTTGAAACCGATATATGACAATATTCTGAGCAAGCTGATGGTATGTAGCGCCTTGCAACACTCGTAGTT